AACTTCTGGTTGTAGTTGGTCTATGCGGGTCGGTTTGCACTACTAACCCGCCCGCCTGCTCCATGCCTGCTACACGTGCCACCCATAGCTTGCTTAACTTCTGGTTGTAGTTGGTCTATGCGCTGTTGTAAACAGTTAGGGAAAAAACCATCACAAAACAGAGTCTCATGTCACCAAAAGTAATCCGCCAAGAAAAACTATGGGCAATGATCATCGTCAAAGCAAATAAAACGCAGTATGAGCATAATCATTTGCAAACAGTTGGGGAGAAAAATCCTTCAAATATTTCGCTTAACTTCCAGCCTGCAGTTGGTCTCTACGCCAATTGACGCAATGAGTCATCTAGTATTGTTCAAAGTAGAAGGTTATCCCATATGAGAAAGTTTTATTTGCTCTAGAAGGCAGAGCAACAATGGTGGATTTAGCGTGGTGCTACCATTGAGATGCAACACACATATTTAATTGCATCACACAGTATGACATGGCAATGAACAATTAGTGGTCCATTTATTTATCGTACTTGAAGTTTAAAATATGGTACAAAGAAATTTTCCGGCAATGCCTCATAGGCTCCTTTGAGAAGAAAAAGGAGAAAAATTTCTCATGAGCTAACTAATATTCAAGCTAATAATGGTTCTTGAATTGGCACCAAAGCAGAATTTTGAATATAACTACAAGACAAAATTACTCCTATGAAAGATGAAAATTCGAATACATCAACCAAGAGCACGAGCTTTCACTCCCTACTTGCTAGTGTAGAGCGAGAAAAATAGATAAAGCTACAAGCATATGAATTTAAGAAGTTTTATTCTAGAAAGTAGGAGCTTTAGCATTTCGTTCATTTAACATACATAGATATTTTGTAAGAGTAGCTCGTTAGGCCAAAAAGGGGTTGGCAACCGAGTTGTTAGCAGGAATGCAATCCAGCTATAAACAAGGAAAAATGTGTTCCATTTCCTATAGAGTTTGTCTTCTTCTAATTACTCTCTTTTATGTTTTCAAATTAAAATACACAATGAATAATAAAATACATAAATGGTCATGCATTCTGTGGTCCCTCCTCTTTTTATCCGGGCTTGGGACCGGCTATGCATAGCATAGGTAGAGTTACCCACCCACCCTCCAAACACATTAGCACATGAGTAAGACAACCATTGGTTTTGATGGACAGCAAAATTTGCTGTCCACCACTACCAAGAATTGCCTTGCCCTTTGAGTAGCCTTAAGCAAGAAAGGATCTCCTTAATTTTAAGGTCGAGCCAAGTAACTATAGCAAGGCTCATGTTGCCCCTTGCATAGGCTTACTTTTTGCACCAAATAAGCAAGACAACTCTTGGTTTTGATGGATAGCAAAATTTGCTGTCCATCATTAGCAAGAATTGCCTTGCCGTTTAAGTAGCCTCAAGGGTTCCTTGATTTTGAGGGAGCCAAATGACTCTAGCATTGTTCTTTGCATACAATTATTTATGCATCGGACGAGCAAGGAAATCCTTGGTTTTGATGAAGAGCAAAATTTGCTTTCCACCACTAGCAAGAATTGCCTTGCCCTTGAGTAACCTTAAGAGAGTAGGGATTTCCTTGATTTTGATGAAAAACCAAATGGCTCTTCTACACTAGCAAGGATCACCTTAACATTTGCTTAGCTTTACATTTGTATAACTGAGCAAAGATTGTCTTGAATCTTTAGGAGCAAAATATGCTCTTCTACCTTTGCGCCAAGTGAGCAAGGCAATCATTGTTTTTGATGGAGAGAAAAATTTGCTCTTTGTCACTGGCAATGATTGCCTTGCCCCTTGAGTATCTTAAGTGAGCAAGGGTTTCTTTCATTATAATAAAAGTGAGCAAAATTGCCTCGCTTTTGTGGAGGATTAATCCTCAACGGGCGAGGATCATGCCACCCCATACTTAGCAAAACGAGAAAGAGTTCCCTTGCTTTTGTGGGGAGCCAATCCTCCACAAGCAAGGGTTTCCATTTGTTTGCGCAATGAGCATAAGACTGTTTACGCATTCATGGAGAATCAACCCTTCACGAGCAAGATTTTCATCCCACTTGCCTGGTATGCACCAGACTTTGGGAGGAAATGCACGATTGTAATGCAACATTGCTTGAAGCATGGAGCAAACCATTGCATTTGGCAACATGTACGCCAATATCTATTATCACGAAAATATGATCATGAGAAGAATTAACAACATATTCCGTAATTAAAGAAAAGTTCAATGAGGTTCATGCAATATGAACTATTGTATGTAAACCCAACCACATTATCACGACTCAGCCTAATCGTGACACTTACTTGTGGTAGGAAAATGATGCAATAGTGGAGATAATAAACATGGAGAATGTTTTTTGTGGTCAAAGTTTTTATTTATTATCACCAACATCAAAGAAAATTGCTATTTCAGAAAGCATGTGTAGAAATATTTGGAAACAATGTTTCAATGGAAATGAAATTCCATAAATGGTTAGCTGTTGGTACAAACTTATGGATTCGAGGATGTACAATAAGTAAAAATATGACTCTCTGAGCTAATGGAATTGACATCATATTTTGTAAATAAATAAAGGCTCAATGAGTTTCAAGTAATGATTATAAATTATGTAAACCCAGCCTCATTATCATGAATCAGCTTAATCCCGACACTTGTTTGTAGTGGGAAAATGACCCAATAGTGGAGATAATAGATAAGTACTAGCATAATTTGTGTTATCAAACTTGTATTTATTGTCATCGACAGTAAACAAAGTTACTATTTCAGAAAGCATGTCTAGAAATACTTCGAAACGAGATTCCAATAAGAATGAAAAGATATTCATAAATGGGTTGCGCAGGTATACATTAAACTTATGGGCATAATAAGAAAAAAATTATTGACTTGCTGAGCTCACATATTCCCATCTCGCTGAGTTCATCAGTTACTTACCACGGCAAAATGTCTGCAAAGAGGGACAGGACCGAAGCTCGAGCGCGTGCGGAGCGCAACGCCGGCATCCGGACCCAGCATCCCAACACCCCCCCTGCGGCCAATCCAGGAGGAGTGAGGGCGAGGTGGGAGGAGACATGAAAGCCAGAGCCCGGAGGAGAGCATGCAGTAGGGGACGATGAAGCAGGGGGGCTGGACGGCGAGGGCCAGCCCGCCGATCAGGAGCACCGCCGTCGGCCGGTTGATGCGGCGGACCAGAGGTGGGTGTGTGAGATGCTTCTTCCTCCCTCTCAAGTCTCAAGTGCTAACCAACTATTGTATCTTCAACAAGAAGTGCTAACCAACAGAGTTATTATTAGCTCAATTAATTTGGTGACAATCAAGTAGCTCATGCTTTGGATGCGTTCTGTCGTTTGCTATGCCGGCGTGTTAATATATTCACGAGAGGAGGCAAAAAATCAAGCCACTAGAAGCTCATATATTGGTGAAAGTTTCGCTTTCATTGATTTCTGGATGTTTCTTTTTTTGAGCTGCATTTCTGGATGTTTCGAGTGAATTGATATTTTGCACCTCTAAGCGAAGCAGACAAGCATCACCTTGGAAGCTACTGTACTCATCAACTGTTAGTCAACATAATATTACATGGACCAGTAAAAACTCCATGAGCAGCAGAATATACCAAGCAAAGCATCCAACCATCAGATATGCATATGACCAGACCTGACCAATTGTGCCATAGATGTTTCTTAGTTCAGATAACTATAACAGGAATGGTTCTACTTCTAGGGCCATACGAAAACCCCTCTAACTAGATATCACATCCAGCCAACTACAACAGAGCTCCAATTAAACGCCCACCGGCTGTGCACACACAGACGTCGCGTATCAGAATTTCAACCACTTCTTCTCCTTCTCCTTCCTGGAGACGGCGTTGGTGGCCGAGGCGTGCGTCGCCTCGGCGTCGGCGAGCGCCTTCCGCGTCTGCTCCAGCTTCCTCGACGCCGCGTCGTGCACTGCCTTGTCCTTGCGGTTGCGCTGCACCATCTCCTCCAGCCGCCCGACCTGGCTCCTCAGCTCCTTCACCTCGTCGTCGTACGCGAGCAGAGACCTTCTGTTGTCTTCCTTCTTGGGATGCCCGTTGGCCTGACCCGATGGCGACTCTTTCCTGGCTTTGGAGGCCGAGGAGCCTTCCGACGCGTCCTGGCTCACCAGCTGGCTGTTCATGAAGCTGAAGACGGACCTCTCCGCCTCCTCGGCCTTGGCGGCCCTGGCCAGCTCCGCAAACTTCCGGTCGCGCTTCCTTTGCCCGCCCCGGCTGCGCTTCTTGTCTTTCGTGCGGTGTATGCTTCTGCCGTCCTCGCCCGTGGTTGTGGTGACTGCGTGGTCGAGTGATTGCTTGGGTGGTAGTACTTTGACTGGGATTGGATCGAGCATGCCTTGGCCAGACACGCCTAGCCCCATGCCCTCTCGATACCCCATCTTTGCCATCATTTTGGAGGCAACGCCTCTGGTGTGCTGTTCCCATTTCGCAAAGATCACGGTCTCCGACTGAACACCAGTTAAATTTGTGGTTTCCAAACGGCCAAGACCCTGATGGATGGATTCATCCTCTTGATCGCCATCTTCACTTAACTCGGATTCATCCTCGCTTGAGCCTCTTTCATCATCTTCGCCGCTCACATCAACATATTCTGGGATAGAAAGGGAATCGCCCGGAAGCGTTGCAGTGCTCCCATCATCTTGAAAGACCACCTGACCACGCTTCAACTCATCATCCCACGACTCGAGTTCAGCTCTCCTCCAAAGGCCAGAGTGGTGCCCAGAAGCTGCCAGTATGCTGGATCCTGCCAAGGACTGTCGCCACGCAGTTGGAGTGAACTGTTTCAAGGATGAAGTAGGAATCACAACACCTGCAGATAATTATGAATTAGAAGTCATGCATACCACTTAGCATGAAAGTACAGAATCATACACAAATCTTTAAAGTAACGCATAGGAAAACAGGGACAAGCAAATATTGCATACTTACACAGTATTAACCAAAAAAGCAATATGAATCCATTGAAGGAGCAATTCATTTTAAAGGGTTCAATGTGAAAACAAATGGACAAGACACAGGAAAAAAGCACAGTCCAAAGGGTTCAGTCCTTCAAACGGTGAAAAAAGCATTTACATACCATGGGACAAGCGGCAGTTATTAGCAAACCGACACCGTTGCTGCAGAAAGAACTTGCACATCTGCACTATGGGCAGACTTATATTAGAAGTCTGGTAAGAATAATGATCTTTGTTCTGGGTATTACTACAGTTATATTATAAGCAGCAGAAAGTTATGGCTGAAGGAAAGGTAGCTTGTAGCAACCCACCTGTGTAACCTGCTCTAAGAGGGGTTTTCTGCTTTTGTTGTGTATTTCTGGGTGTCCGTGGGAGTGGGATGGAAACAAACAGAGGGTGCAATACGCTCAGGTTTTATCAAGAGAATTTTATTTTCGAACAGATGGGTTATAATGAGTATATGCGCATTTCACATGATTCTAGTAACGAAGAGTATAATGTAACGTCTCTTTGCCTGGTAACAATTCATCAATAGCTACTGAGGAGATGGGATTTGGAAATCAAACCAAATGAACAGCTTTGTAACCCAGCGAGGGTTTACATTGATTATGCATGTCCACATTAGACAATCGTATTCACAACAGACGGACTTCTGTTGAGTTTAAAATTCAGATAAAAGGTGGAGACATCCACAATGTATATTTTGTGACAATCAGAACTATTTCAGTTGTGCAATAGTCAAAGGCTATTCAACAAAACAACCATACTGGTCCTAGCATTAGTGGAAGTGACACACAAGCATATTTGAAGAAGGGAAAGCGGCAAAAAGGAATACATACTACAAAGTGACCAAGTAATTTCCTACTGGCTGGTGAGCCACTGCCACATAGTTACCAATACCAACCATATCAGCATGTAAGGGGTTAACTCTGGTGGTTACCAGGTAACAAGGCTGGTTCAATTCAAAAGACAATCTTTGTGTAAAAAGGATAGGTCAAGTTGCATGACTCACCGACATTTTTTCTGATGTGGGTGTCAGAAATGAGACCCGTGCATTGCCTGAACCTTCAAGCCCTAGAATGCATCCATTATACCAACGCCCATCATTGTGCCTGAATCTACACTTTGATCCTACTGAAAATTCCTGTGGCTCCAATGGTTCTGGCTCAACATCATTTGGATCTAATGGCTCAATAGCAGCTTCAGTTGATAGCGATGCTGACTCCTGATTTGGAAAGATCTCATCGATTTGCTTCACCAGCCTAGAACGCTTCAAATGCAGAAGCCCTTCCTCTGCATCCTTAATCGCAGACAGAAGTTCCCCATGCACCTTCAGAACAAAACATAATTTAACTCAGATATAATACAAGTGTAAATGCAGATTTATGAAACATTGTGACATGAAATATCTCCCCAAAAGGGGTCGAGAACTTTCTCCAAGGGATAAGGAATGAGCAAGAAAAAAGGGGAGCTACTAACTACTTCCACAGTACATGCCTTACTTTCTTGCAGCAGCCAATGCAAATATCGCATGCTCTCAATACCGCATGCCAGTATAAATAGATCTTGTAATATACAATGCTTAATCTCTTCTAGTTTCTCAGCTTAGCTGCTGTCAATGGGAAAACAACACATGAATGAGCTAATTCAACCCCTGCAGCAATATCCATGGACAAAGTGCACTGGAACAATGCCACGCCTTAAAAAAGGAGCACCGTTCTTGTAATCAAACCAAGACACCAATTGCTCTCAGCTCCCAAAATAGAACATCCCTAACTGAGCAACTGTTGCAACTATCAGCTAATAATCCAGCATATACTGCAGAACGCCATAATCCCATCACAAGCAGGCAATCCATAGTGGCAATCATTCAGGTTCTACTTGTACTCGAACAACCACTAGCTCCCTACTCCCTGCGTCGACGAATCAGGGATGCCCCCTAGAAGTCTAAATCCCTAGGACCCCTAAGAATCCCCATCCCTTGGGAACTAGTTAATCAGCAATCTGGGCCGTGCTGCACGTTCAGGGACAGGCCCACACAGATGCGTACGCACCTCGAGGAGGTCCGCGTTGGTGGCGTCGGCGGCGAGGGCCTCGTCGACGGCGGCGAGGGAGGACCGCTGCTCCTCCAGGTGCTGCTCCAGCTGCAGCTCGATCTCCGCCGCCTCGTCCTCCTCCCCCTCCCCCGACATGGCTCACCGGTCCAGACAGCGGTCGGTCGGGAGAAGAGATGGGGCCGACGATTTCGATGGGTGAAGAAGTGCCGGTACGGCTGCACCACTGCGCCGGGAGGACGACGGGTGTGGTGGGCCGGGGCGCTGCGGAGGAAAAGTCCACGGGCTGCCAGGCTGGCTTCAATGGGCTTGGCGGGCCCGGACACTAGGGCCCATCATCGCTTCGGTCGGTTCGCGCCGAGAGAGAGAGCGCGCGCGCAACAGGAACCCGACCTGAGAGCATCTTCAACAGGCGCGCTAAACAGGCGCGCGCCGTAAATATACCCACTTTAGCGCGCGCAACCCGGCGGATGGCTCCAGCGGGCGCGCAATAACCGCGCGTGCGGTATAAGCAGTTGGGCACGCGGCAGGAACCGGTACCTCGCGCGGTGTATTTGCGGCACCCGCTTCCGCGCGCGGCACACTCGACGCTCGCGCTGCGCGCTCTTCTTCTCCCCCTCCAAAGCCCCGCGCGCGCCGGCGCCGGCGACCCGCACGCGGCGGCACCCCGCTTACCCCGTCCTATAGCCGCGACCCCCCCGCCGCCGCCGCCACCACAAACCCTAGCCCGGGTGGCGTTGGCCTCGCCTCCGCCGGAGCTCCTCCGACCGGCGGCCTCGCGCGCGGCCTCTTCATGCCGCCGCGGATGACCTTGACCTTGGCGGCGGGTGGCGTCGCGCCGGCGCCGGCCCGAGCCGCCGCCCCCTCCTCCTCAAAGCTCCCCAATGCGGCGCGGCCAAAGAAGGGCAAGACATCGGCGAAGAAAAACAAGGCGGCGGACGGCTCCGGCACCTCCAAGGTGAGGAGGAAGAAGCTTGCGGGGCGTGCGACGGGCGCGGCGGCTGCCGAAGCGCCGGCAAGCTCACTCGTTGAGCCGGCGGCCGGCGCACAACATGTTCGACGAAATGCCTCCAAGGTAAAAAAAATCTAACTTTTCACTTTTTTTGTTATTTTTTGAATGCATTCGTCACATGTAGATAGCTTATTTGCATTGTTCAAAAAAATTGTAGTCTCAATGATGATGCATACATGTCAACGATGGGTGTTGGCTCCAACAATTCGCATTGGTCTCAAACCAATGACATGCATTTTGAAGACCATGAGTTCGAGGTGGACGAGGAGGGTGAGGGCATTGTCGACGCACCAAAAGGAAGAGCGGGCAATTATACCAACACCGATGTCATCTTACTATGCAATACTTGGTTGCAAGTGTCGAGGGATCCATCCGTTGGAGGTGATCAAAGTAGAGATGCTTATTGGAACCGGATGAAGGAACACTTTGATGCTCGCAACGTGAGTGGAATTGACCGCTCCAACTGATCACTTAGGTCCCGATGGTCGACAATCAACTCGGATTGTCAAAGGTGGGCGGCCTGTCAAAAGGCGGTTGACAAGTTGAACCCAAGTGGCACAAATGAGGACAATAGAGTAAGTGCCATTTCATCTTACATGTTGGTGCTAACTTGCTTTGTTTTGCTTGTTGTTGGTGCTAACTTGCTTTGTTTTGCTTGTTGTTGGTGCTAACTTGCTTTGTTTTCATGTAGTACAACATTGCGCAAAACTTGTTCAAAGAAGAGGAGAGGAAAACCAAGAAGGAGAAGATCAAGAAAGGAAGGGTATTTACTTTGTCTCATTGCTATGAAGTGTTGAAGGATGATGAGAAATGGAAGAAGCGTGAAGATTTGGATGATTTGCATTTGAGCGACAAACGGAAGCGAACAATTAAGTTGGATGATAATGATGATGAGAATGATGCATCAAGTGATGACGGCAAGAGAAGCCCCACACCCAACTCGATTTCATACTCGAAGCCAAAGTGACCGGATGGGTGCAAGAAAGACAAAACCAAAAAGAAGAAGAGGAAAGGAGATGATGAGCTCAAAAATGCTATGGAAGCTATTGTGAAGGCAAGAAAAGAAGCCAACGAGGTGAGGAAAATGGCAAGGACCCAAGATGCCGCGGCCGAGGAAAGGTGGTTGGCGGCCGAGGAGAGGAGGGTGGCGGCCGAGGAGAGGAAGGTGACTTTGGAGGAGAGGAAGGTGAGCAATAAGGAGCGAACTAGATTGTTGGAATGGGAGAAGAACTTGTTCTTATTAGACACAACTAACCTCAATGAGGCGCAAAAGGAGTATGTCAATCTTGCCCAACAAGAAGTCTTGATCCAAAAAAGAGCCATGGTTCGTGCAATGGGTGGCGGTGGCCTCGGCGCCATGGGTGGCGGTGGCCTCAACGCCATGGGTGGCATGGGTGGCTTCGGAGGTATCGTGGACGGTTTAGGTGCAATGGGAGGCATGGCTGGCTTTGGAGCACCCCCCGACGCTATGGCCACCATGGGAGGCATGAGTTTTGCTTCTCTCATGGAAGGCATGGGTGCACCTCCGGCCACCATAGGCGGAATGTCTTTCGATGTGCCTCCTCGCACACATTCCCATGAAGATGCCGTTGAAGATCTTGCCAACATCGTCGGAGCTTCACGTGATGCGGTGCGCGATGAGGAGAGGGAGGAAGATTCATCTTCGGAGGCGGAAGAATCGTCTTCCGAAGATGAGGACGAGGACGAGGACGAGGACGAGGAATGATGTGTCTTTCATTTGTGTATCGAACTTGATTTGCATTTTGAACTTGGTTGGATGAACTTGTGAGCATGATTTTAAACTCGTGGGCATGAACTTCATCACCTTGTTTGTGTGAAATTTTTATTGTGTTGAAAATGTTCATCATTTTGTGTTGAAAATGCCATATGCAATGCACCGGCGAGTCGCGCGCGCTGCATTTTGGCGCGCTGCTGGAGCGGCGCACACGCTGCATTTTAGCGCGGCTGCTGAAGCCAGCGTTGCGCGCGGCGCCAAACCAGACGATACGCGCGCGGCATATCTGTTTTTTGCACGCGGCGCGACCGGCGCCTGTTGGAGATGCTCTGAGTACGACTCCGTATTGAACCCGAACTCATCGTCGCCACGCGCAGTACAACGCCGCCGCATCGGCCGGTCACCGGAAAACCAAGATAAGCTGTCACAGCTCCTCGTGACGCGCGCGAGAGGAATATCTCAGTCGTCATGGCGATGTCGCCACTGCCGTGCCTCGTCTTCGAGTACGGCGACGAGCGGGGCACGAAGCTGTACGCTGCCGCCGACGGCGTGTACCGGCCGTGCGAGATCGGCCCGCTGCTAACCAAGCGGAACTGGGTCACGGCGCAGGGCTGGGTGCTGGCCTGGGACCCGGACACCTCCGCCACCTTCCTATGGGACCCGCATGATCCAGAGCACGGCCGGGTTGCCCTGCCGTCGTTCGCGCAAGCTCTGCCGGTGGGCTCCAACTGCACGCTGTCAGGCGATCCCACAGCTCCCGGCGGCTGCACGGTCAGTAGCGTAGCCAGCCCAATAAGCCAGGGTGGTCCATTAATAGAAATATTTTCATAAGTTTATTTATTTTTTAAAAAATATTTTTTTACTACACTATATACAAGCTATGGGGAAATTCCAGGGTGGTCCATGGACCACCCTGGCCACCCCCTAGCTACGCCACTGTGCACGGTGGTCCTGGCCGAGCCATATGAGAGCACCGTCCTCTGGTACTGCCACACCGGTTCAGCGACGCCGGAGTGGGTAAGGCATGAGTACGATCTCGGAGGCAAGTTGGTGAAGATCGGGGAACACCGGACGTCATGGAACAAGAGGCACGTCTTCGGTCTAGTGCCATCCGGTGACAAGTTCTACTATCCGATCCATCAGAATAAGTGCGGCGTGCTTGAGTTCTCGCCAGAGCCAAGGCTAAGCACCGTAAAAACCAAAGGAGTAAAGCTCACCTTCCATCCGATTGGCGATGGGTGCGTGAACGCATACTTGTCCCTCCTCGACCTGGATGACAAGCTTCACATGGTGTGGATCTTCTTTGCGGGCTTTAATATGCGCACCATCAATGACGTCGCCATCTACAAGGTGGGGTTTTGGCAGATCGAGATGTGTCCGGGTGAACAACATTGGCGGTCGGGCGATACTTGCAAGCTCGGCCGGCTTTCATGCAACGTGGTGTCCTGCCAACAAGTTCAGGTTGCGTCCTAACACTGTGTATTGGATGAGCCCATACGACAACTGCTTGCACATGTACGACATTGGAGCAAACAAGGAGGTGGTGCATGAGTATGAAGGTGCTACGGAGCTATTGCGCACGCCGTTTTGGTTGGTTCCCGTGCATCGTTCGTGACTAGATCAAATCACTTTGCCAACTTATTGTGACAAAAGTATTAAAGTATTAGCTGTTGATAAAGTAAGAAAGATGTTTTTGCAATTGTATTGCGACATTTTCAATATGTAATTACATAGTTTGATGATTTCACTATCTTATTTTTGAATGTATTGGTCTAAAGTGTCAAAATTTTCATAACTAAGAAGTTAGCCTTCACTGCTTAGTTTATTAGTACACATTCAAATGTGTCACCTCATCATGATTGTCAGGCCAATTAGCCTTACCAATTAATTGCATGTATGCATGCATCCTCCATGCTAGTTTCATTCTCTCCCACTAGTGCATGCTATTTTTTCCAACTCCCTTTCAACTACTCATCCATAATAGTTTCATTCTCTCGCACTAGTCGAGACTATTTTTTCCAACTCCCTTTCAACTTGTAACTAAATGCACATATGTTGTGAACAAAGATACCCCATCTATTAGTAATCTAATAGTGATGTATATACAATCAATTTTCATTGAATATACTGCAACAAATTTCTGCAGTAACGCGCGGAGTATGATCTAGTATGTTACATTGTTTATTCATCCTTTTATATGAATAACATAATGTTCTGCATTCAAGATGCTATAAGTACTTGCAACTGGCAATAAACAAAATCCCTGTGAGAGAGAAGACATTGCCGTCTTCTCTTATCATGTTTGTCGGTGTCAAAACCGGCGGATCTCGGGTAGGGGGTCCCGAACTGTGCGTCTAGGCTGGATGGTAACAGGAGGCAAGGGACACGAAG